TTCCTGTACGCGTTAGTAGACGCCGTGATCTACGTGGAGCAGCCACACACCTACGGCGAAGGGGATTCGCGCGTGTGCCAGCTGCGCAAGTCACTCTACGGGATCAAGCAGGCGCCGAGGCTGTGGCAGCAGTACCTGCACAACATCCTGCTTGAAATCGGATTCAAGCAGATGCCGCACGATCCAGGGATGTACCGCCGTGATTTTCGCGGCGAATACATCCTCCTCACGGTATACGTCGACGACCTGCTTTATACAGGCTCAAACGACGAGCTTCTCGAGCAGTTCGAGAAGGCCTTGGCGGGGCGCGTCGACATCACGTGCAACTACGAGGTGAAGCAATTCTTGGGCCTCAACATCTCCTACGCGCCTGAGGCCATTCACCTTTCAGCGGCTAAGTACGCAGAGGAGTTCGGAAACGGTTCAACATCTCACCTGCACCCCTCTCAACTCCCTACCGAACCCCCGGACCGAACCACAAACCCGACAACAAAGCCCTATCCCCTGCTGGAATTCAGACTTACCAGCAGCAGTTGGGATGCCTCCTCTTCGCCTCTGTCACCTGCAGGCCAGACCTCTCGTACATCGCAAGTCAGCTGGCGCAATACTCGCGCAAACCAACGGCTGAGAATCTCCTGGACCTGCAGCGCGCTCTTCAATTCTTCGTTTCAACGCCCAAGATTGGGCTGTGCTACTCAACTGCACCAACTCCATCCTTCAATCTCATCGGCTATGTGGACGCCGATCATGCAGCAGATCCCGACAATCGACGGTCCGCGACCGGCTTCCTGTTCCGACTCGAGCCAACGGGACCAATCTCCTGGAACTCGCAGAAACAGGAGCTGGTTGCCCTGTCGTCAGCCGAAGCGGAATTCATCGCAGCAACCGCAGCAGTTCACGGAGGCCTCTACCTGCAGGAACTCCTGCAAGAGGCGAAAATTCCAGCTTCGCCCACATTTCGCCTTCACTGCGACAACCAGAGCGCGATTCGTCGTCATCACGAACAAGCCTGGTTTCGTCAACCGCACCAAGCACATCGCGCTGCGGTACTTCTTCGTGAAGGACGAGGTGGACAAGGGCAAGGTCAACTTGACCTATTGCCCGACCGGTGACATGGCAGCAGACTTCCTCACGAAGCGACTGCCACGCCAGCAGTATCAACACTGCTCCGAACTCAGCGGCGTGGTCAAGCAGGTCAAATCGAGCTACGGCCAGGAGTGAAGGGGGGTGTTACGAATAGTAATATTCAATTATTACTGTGCACTCCTCACCGCAGCAAAGAGAAGCATGCAGTATCGAGAACGAACGCGAAGAGTCAGACGGTTGGAATTGAATCGAAGCGTCAGACAGTTACAGCGCATCTGGACCGTCGGAGCAGACGGCATCTGGCAAGTGCAGGCAGGATGGTTTTGGCGGGAACAGTTACGAAACTGTACGCGCCGCACAGTTGGGAATGAATTTGAATAAGGGAATGTACCCCTTAGAGTACATGGCTAGCTAGGTCGTTTCGTCTTCCCTGTACTCATATTTATATTTGCTGTATTTGCATGTTTTATTTCATCTCAAAGCATTTTACATTCACTCTGCTATTGAGGTCAAGGGCCCACCAACTTCACTTCTCTATGTGCGAACCTTCGTGAGTAGATCCTAGGTGACTATCAACCTCTGATCGCAGCATATGTTAATCGACTATGTATGTTATAGCGAATGTTGTTGTGAAATGTTATAACAGATGTTGTTATGACAAAAAGGGATTTTGAAATTACTTAATTCTGATATTTTGATTTGGCCATTAATGGTGTTTAGTTGCTCGCTTTTGCATTTTTATGTTGCTTTTAGTTAGCTGGTTTGAAATCTGAAGTTTCACTCAATGTAGGGGATGGCTCCACTCGAGGCTCCAATAACCGTCGAAATGATGTTCTAGTTCCCCATTGGAGATACGTTTCGCTGTAGTGCGCACACCTAGGGGCCTAGAATCTAGATTGTGCTCCTCCTTCCTGGCCCCATCTTCCCCAGCATCAAGCACTTGCTGGTGGAATCGACTGAGAAAACGAAGGCCGTGCGAGATTTTACACAAGTGGCTATGCTGGTTCTATGGTGACAAATGGTAGCTGAAACCCAAAATTGTGGGTGGAAGAAGTGATCTGGTGAAGTCCACCACACTGGAGTGTTTCTACCGGACTGGGAGCAAACTCTCCTGGAAGGGTTACATTACAGTATTCTCGGCAACAACAGGAATTTCCACACCAAAGAATTTCAACACAAGAATTTCCTCAAAGAGTGGCAGGAAATTCTGAGGTGTGGCGTGTCTGTTGGGATATAGACAAGTGACCGTCTGCTCCAGTGTCGTCCTACTCCCCATCAAAGCTTCACCTGACTCGCACTCGTCACCCACGATTTATTTCAGCTACGAGTACTATATAAATCGTGATGCCATCAGGGCTACTAGCCAAATCAATTAGGTATATTTTGGTTGTTGCGATGGTCGTGTCGTCCCGACCTATTTGTGGAGTTTCTCAGTTGGTTTGGGTACTGTACCGTCATGCGACATTTTGAGGGGCGTCCCTCCCTCCCCAGAAAACCTCTGTTACAGCAGTGGCAAGTTCACTTCACGAGGAGGGTAGACTTTGGGGGGTAGACTTTGGGGTACAGTCGGTGCTCATTTCAAGAACACCAGGTAGGCGGGCGGCATGTGAGTGAAACGAGTTTTCAGACATTTCGCCACATTCGCCCTTGTCGCCACGGGCAAAAATGTGATTGTAAAATGAAATTGGAATGTGAAACGAGTCTAGGGGTTTAAGTTCGTAACCAGGTAAACAATTCTGATGACAGGCAGCCGTTGTTGTTTATGAACTGTAGATGTTTTTCTTCCTCGACTTGGTGACTGTACCCTGAAATCAGCACAATCACCACTCACAGGCAAAACGTTCGCGAGTGACTGATTTTCTAATTGTGATAAGCATATTTTTGTGATAGGCTGAGCATCGACTGTATGGTGTCAAACTGTACGGGTGATGTCGAACGCTTTCGAAATGTACCTTCACGTGGTTTCCTGGATTTGGTTGGAATGATATGTGTGAGTTGTGGAGGACGTTGGTTTGTGCTAGCGAAACACCCCTTCGTCCACTATCTCGTTTTGTCTGGTTTCAGGGCGACTGTGCAGGTTGGTTTCAAAACACACCACCAGCTTTGCACCTCAATGCCCCCTTGGAGTCTTCCGAGGATCCCCTTCCGCGTCCAGGTGAGCTGGCGTCTGGAACGGCTTTTGGGGGATCACTTGGCTGACGCATCAACTTTCACACCTGCTTTCTTCTGTCCCATCCCCGTCAAGTTCTCGAGCTCTATGTTGACTTTGTAGAGCTCAGTGTGGTGTGCAATGGTGCAATACGGTGAAACGAGTAAACCGTTTTCAAACGTGGTTTACCGGATTGAACCGCGTTAAACGAAGCCCGAACGAAGTATGACCAGCCCGCAGTGTTCTGTCAGTCAGACACACACCACAACAACTACTTCCACTGGTTCCACCAGCATTCTTTTCTTGTCGCGTCAGACGAGCCCCATAACTCGTAATAATGGATCCGCTGCTTCCACCTCCGCGTTCGTCTGCGGCCAGTCGCTTGACTTACGCTACCAACGCAATTAGGTTCTTCACAACCGATCTAAGTTTGACTTGAGTTTCACTCGCAGCATTTCAGCTAAGAGGGAGTTATGTTTATACTATCAAGATGGAAATGAGATACAGATGCGTTGCTGGTCACCTCCAGTGCTTCGGTGCAAGTCAGAAAGGTTTTACGGCCGTCTACCCTAAATCATAGCCTCCCATAGTCTATGTCAGCTCTCCTACATGTCGTAGCAATCGCCAGACGAAGTAGCAGTTCGCGTGTCGTTCCTTCTCGTTTCTGTCCCAAGTTATATGGACAAGTACGCCAAGATTAAACTCATAGGCGAGGGTTCGCACGGGAAGGTGTATCTAGTTAAAGAGAAACCTGACGGCGACGGAGCGTCGAAGCACCAACAGGCCGTTCGCAGTCCGAGCGATAAAGTATGGGTGATGAAGGTCGTTCCGCTACCGTCGGATCCGAAAGAGCGGGAAGAATGCGTTCGAGAAGGGTCGACCATGATGAAGCTCGGACACCCTTGCATTGTCGGCTGCAAGGTACGGACCGCCTAAATTCGCCTTCTTGCGATAGCGTACCAATTACCCTGATTCGGTTACACATGGCCGCTAGATTCGGAAGAATCTGAACGTCGGATCGACATACGTCGTCTGAACTTCCTCATCTGCCGATGCGCTTCCCTCTTCTAATTTGTTCGCCTTCGTGTTACTTTCGTATTACCTTGTTGTTACCTTTTCCGTGGCAGGAAGCGTTTATCGACCGCTCCAGCCGTGCCTTTTGCATTGGTGAGTACGACACGCGTGAAATGGTCCTAATCGGCACTACCGGTGTACCTCGGTTCGCCAAATTCGTTCGCTTAGCATGGTCCTGGTGCGTTCCCATGGCGACGCTTTCGGAGGTCACAGAGGCGATTACTAATAATTCAGAATCTCGTACTCTTTATAAGCCGTGGTGTTAGAGTCGTTACCTATATCTAGTAGTGGACCTGTCCAGATTCAGCAGCCTTGGGTTTCTCGGTATACCAAACAGCAAGGATCACCAAACTCGTACGGTCATACTGATCTCTTACCGTCTTTTGAAACATTCCCTCGTTATAGCAAGTCTCGACACGCTCGAGGTCGTCGCTAGTGCTCATCCATCGTCCCTGGTCGTTGGCGCTTAGTTCATGGTGCTTAAGGTTTGCTGCTCCGTGCGTGGTGCGTGCAGTGATGGAGTATTGTCGCAAGGGCGAGTTGTGTCAGCACCTCAAGAAGCGCTCCAACATGGGAATGATGTGAGTGGTTGAATTCGGTTCTAGCAGGTGCCAGTCCACCCATAATGCTGATGGTAATGTGAGAGGCTGGCCGCTGGTCTTTGCATCTGAGGTGGATTCGTATTGCAATTATGATAGTTATAACGATGCGTCGTTCCGACCTGTCGTACAGTTTCGCCGATTTTCGCCGCGCCGTCGTGAAATCAGTTTGTTTTTTCGTCGTTCTGATTGGTCCCTGCAGGATACCGGAGGACACCATTCTCAACTGGTTCGTGCAGCTCGTGCTCGCGTTAGAGTACCTTCACCATAAGAACATTCTCCACCGCGACGTCAAGGTACTGCAATGAACTCCTCTCCGCTCGCCTCCATCTCCCACATTGCATCGTTTTCCCGTCTGCCTCGGCCCCCTCCACAACCCCTTCTCTCCTTCCCGCCCATCAACCCCCTTCCCCGGCCCTTCCCCTGCGCCCTTCGGTCAGGCGGAGAACGTGTTTCTTCGCAGCCGTCACGACACGCCGCTGGGTAACGCGGCGACGGTGCAGCTGGGCGATTTCGGCATTTCGCGAATGCTGGAGGCCCACGAGGCGGTCGCGCGAAGCTTCGTGGGCACGCCGCTGTACATGTCGCCCGAGCTGATCCGGAACGAACCGTACGACCATAAGTCAGGTGAGCCGTGCGATCACGAGTCAGGTGAGGCGTACAATATCGAGTCCAACGAGCCGTACGACGGGGTGTCAAAGCCTGATTCAACCTACCTGTTGGCACGTGTACTGTGCTGAAGTGTAGCCTATTTTCTCCCCCTTGCCCCCTGCCCCCGCCCCTTTGCAGATATATGGGCGCTGGGTTGCATCCTGTACGAGATGATGTGCTTCACTAAGCCCTTCCCCGCTACAAGCATACGCGACCTCGTTCTGCGAGTGCTCAAGAGCAACTACCGCCCTCCTCCCCACATGTAAGCTGTGTTTTATCTCTCGTTTTTGTTTTCTTTCCTGTTCCAGATTCTCATACCTCTTTTCTCTGTCCCCGCATCCTTCCCCCATCCCTCCCCCATCCCTCCCCCATCCCTCCACGCATCCCTCCACCATCCCTTCTCCATCCCTCCCCCGTCCTCTCCCCCCATCCCCCCGCCGTGCCCCCGCAGATACTCCCCCGAGCTCTGCTTGCTGCTTAGCAAGATGCGTTTTAAGTCGACTCAAAAACCCCCTCCTCCCCCCCCAATCTCCCCGCCTCGCCCCCGCAGATACTCCCCCGAGCTCTGCTTCCTGCTCACCAAGATGCTCTCTAAAGACGCGTCGCGCCGCCCCACCGCGGCCGACATCCTCGCCTTCCCGTTGCTCCGCCCGCGCGCCGCCGCCTTCCTCGCGGCGTGCCAGCTGGCGGCGTCCGAAGCGGCGGAGACGCACGCGCAGCAGCAGCAGCTCGAGGAGCGGATGCAGCGGCAGCTGCAGCAGCCGCAGCAGCACCAACACCACCACCGGCGCTATCAGCACCGCGATAAACACCAGGAGCAGCACCAGCAGCAGCAGCACCAGCAACAGCAGCAGCAGCAGCAGCAGCAGCAGCAGCAGCAGCAGCAGCAGCAGCAGCAGCAGCAGCAGCAGCAGCAGCAGCAGCAGCAGCAGGAAGGTTCCTCCTCCTCCTCCCCATTCTCCTCCCCCTTTTCTTCCCCCCTAGGCTCCCCCCCGCCCTGCTCCTCCTCCGTCCCGACTTCCCCGCTGCACCAGCAGCATTCCGCCAGCGCCGCGCGGGTCCTGGCAATCCACAGCGAAGTCGTGCTGCAGGCGCACCGCCTGGGCCTGCACGTTCCGCTCGAGCCCCTGCTCTCCCCTTCCGCGCGCGCCCGCGCGGAGCGCCCGGGTGCGCCGGGTTCCCCTCGGCAGATGGCAGCAGCGGGGGCGGCGGAGATGCGCGGGGAGGCGGGGGCGGGCGGAGAGGGCTCGCTGTTCCGCGACTATGAGGCGAGCTTGAGGGTCGCCCCCCCGCAGGCAAGTTCATGAAGAAAAAACAGGAGGTTTCAAAGTGTCAATTATTTCTCTTATCAAACGATCGAAGTCCTGAGACTTTCATTACCATTCCCTTCGTTTTTTCCAGCCCGTTCGTTATCCTCCCCCTTCTTTCCCATGCGTCGTTCGCTCCGTTTCTTACCCGTCCCTTTTTCACCCGCCCTACTCTCCCGCCTTCTCTCCTCTCTCCTTCTCTCGCCCTTCAGAAGAGTTCCCAGAGCAACCGCTCCCGAGCCACGTCAACCGACGGAGTCGTCACCCAAACCAACGCCGCAGCCTCGGGCTGCCCAACCAGCCCGTTTGCCTCGGCGGCGGCTCGGCGGCGCTTCTCCGCGTCGGACACGGATAACCTCGTGCAGCGCGCCAATAGCCGCAGCCGGGGGAGCATGAGCGGGCGCATGGGGGACGGCGGGGGCGTGGGCGGAAGCGGAAGAAGCGGGGGCGGCGGAAGCAGGCGGGGGTCGCGGGAGCTGTCACTGGCGGAAGAGGATTTGCGCGCGCTAGAGGAGGGTATAGAGGAGGGGGGCGGGGACTTATCGGACGTGGTTCGCGGAGGGGCGACGGGGGAAACGAGTAGTGCGGGAACTGGAGGAAATTCGTCGCAGGAGAGTATACCAGTAGGTGTAGAGCATCCCTGCAGCGATAGAAACGCATCCGGGCGTTATAGCGCGGATGACTTCGCGACTTATAACGGGCAAACCAGTGGCCGCTTCAGCGGGGAAAGTGCCAGGAGGTTTTCGGATTCCACTCCCCCGTTGCCCTCCGTCCCTGGGGCGCGGCTTTCCCCCTCGGCGGAGACACGCGCGCTTGTACATAGACCACGGGGGAGGAGCATGGGGGAGCGGGAGCCCGCGCATGGGGGGACCGTTGCGGTAGCAAGCGCGGAGCCCTGCTTGCGCGCGCAGGGCGGAGAGTGCGCGGACCCTGGGGAAGGAGCTGGGGAGGGGAGAGCGCAGGGAAGCAGCAAAAGCTTCGCGGAGCGGCGGGCAAGGGAGGGGCGCGCGCTGCAGAGGGGACGCAGCGAGGGCGGGCGGATGGGGGAGCACTTCCGCTTGAGGGAGGGCGCGGGCATGGGGGAAGGCGGTAGGGATGGCGCGGGCATGTGGGCCGAGGGGGAAGCGGAAAGGGAGGCGGCGGAAAGGGAAGCGGCGGAAAGGGAGGCGGCGGAAAGGGAGGCGGTGGAAAGAGAGGTGGCGGAGAGAGAAGCGGCGGAGAGGGAGGGGGCGGAGAGGGAGCGCAGCGGGTGGCAGCAGGAGCGGCGGCGGCGGAGGTCCGCCCGCCGCATGCCCTCATGGGACTGCGAGCGCCTCCCCGGAGTAGCCTTCCCCCGCCCCCCCCCGGCCTTCGAATCCTCCCCCATCTCCATCGAATCTCGCACCCCCCACTCCCGCACCCCCTCCCTCACTCCCTCCCACTCCTCCTCCGTCTCCCCGTCCCGGTTCCCGTCGTCCTTCTCCCCGTCGTTCGCGCCCTCTCGCACGTCGTCTCGCACACGGTCGCACAGCAGCAGCAATGCGACAGACCAGTCGTTAGGGCAGTCGCCGCTGTGGACGCCCAGGCGAGTGGTTGAAGAGGCGAGTCGCCTGCTGGGGGGGCATCGGGGGGAGGGGTTCGGGCTGGGCGCAGGCATGGGGTCGGGTATGGGGATGGGCATGGGCGCAGGGACGGGAATGGGCTATCACGGGAAGCAGCAGCACGGGCAGTTTCAAAGGCAGCAGCCGCAGCAGCTGCAGCGGCGGCGGCACCAGAAGCACCAGTCTGAGTCGTGTATAGATCTCCAGATAGGTCCAGGAGGAACTTACTCGGAACTTTCTCCTAATAGAGACGGCAGGGGGTACAGTCCGGGGATTCCGTATGCACGGGACAGTATGTGGTATAGCGAGGAGCGCAATATGGGGTACAGCCCGCCTGGAAGAGCCTTGAGCCCGCCAGCAGCAGCACACCAACTCCAGCAGAAGCGGTCGTTTGAGGTGAGGTCGCGGGTTCAATCCCCGGTGCCGTCATTACCAAGCAGGGTCAGCGAGGGGGATGAGGACAAGAGCAGCAGCAGCGGCAAAACTCGGGCCGATGCTGCTCCCACTGGCGCCGCTGCTGCTCCTTCTCCTCGTGCCTCTGCCTCAGGAAGCAACATCCGCATTGCTGCGGCTGCTGTTGCTGCTGCTGCTGAAGCACTCTCTGCAAAGCCTACAAGCCCAACCGCCGCCCCCACAACCCCCACACTCCACTGCCCAAGTCCCACTAGCCCTACCAGTCAATGCCCCAGCCGTAGCCCTACTAGCCCCACGAGCCCCACCCCTACTAGCCCTACAAGTCCCACCCCCATAAGCCCCACCAGTCCCACGAGTCCCGCTGTGACGCGCTCTCTCCCCACACGCAGCTCTGCTAGCTCCACAGACGCGGAGGCTGTGCTGTGCCGCGCCCTCGCCTCCATTCCCTCCCCCCCGGATAGCCCCTCCGCGCTCACCCTCATTCCGCCTATCACTCCCTCCTCCAATAAACCTAGCAAGGCAGCAGCAGCTGCTGCTGCTGCTCCTTCCACTGTTAGTGCCCCCCCTCCAGTCCAGCTAGCTGTTCCGCCTGCCTCTGCCCCATCCCCTGCATTCAGAAACCCCCTGGCGGCGCTGCCTCCGCTGCCCTTCCCCTTCCGCCCCTCCCCGCGCGCCCCTGCGCCCAGCCCCGCGCCAGCCTTTGCCACTGCAGCTGCTCTTATAGCCGTTGCCACCGGCATGCCCGATGGTCGTATGGGCACAGCAGAGAGCCGTATGGGTATGGCAGAAGGGCGGATGGGCATGTCGGAAGGGCGGAAGGGCATTGAAGGACGGATGGCCATCCCAGAAGCGACGTCAGTGGAGACCATCAGCAGCACTCTCAGCTCTGACGCCGCTGCTGCCATTCCCCGCATACAGCAGGTGGCCGCTCTGCACCGCATTCAACACCAGCAACTCCAGCAGCAGCAGCAGCAGCAGCAGCAGCACGTGGCGAATCAGAAGAACCAGAAGCCAGCAGCAGAGTCTTCTCTCAGTGCGGCCAGTGCGTCTCCTGGGGATACCTATGGCTCTGCTGCTGCTGCTGCTGCTGCTGCTGCTACTGCGGGCAGCAGCGGCGCCAATGCCTCTATCTCAAGCTATGGTCGCAGTAGCAGCAGCAGCAGTAGCGGCACTCGCCCCACGTCCCCTCTCCGCTTCGGAGGGAGGCTGGCTGCGAAGCTAGCAGGTTCCTTCTCCTCCCTAGTTCCGAAATCTCCCAAGTCCCCCAAATCCCCCAAGGCTTCCAAATCTCTTAAATCTCTCAAGTCCCCCAAGTCCCGGAGTCCTAGGAAGGCTGGGGGGAGATTCGGTGCAGTGTCAGGAACAGGTGGGGCAGGCGCGTCTGCAGCAGCAACAGCAGCAGCAGCAGGAGCAGCAGGAGCAGCGGGAGGAGGAGGAGCAGCAGCAGGAGCGGCAGCAGGGCAAGGGCCGAAGAGGTTCCTCCTTAGTGGCAGCAGTGGCACTAGGAGGAGGTCACAAGAAAACCCCCTCCTTAACCCTATCCACAGACGAAGGACCCACTGCTGGCTCTGGCAACTTCAGCAGCGAGGGGACGATGAGCTGGGGCTCCCTCCTCTCCCCCTCCTCCCTCATCGGCCGCTCCTTCTCCCTGCTCTCTCCCCGAAAAAGCCCCAAAATGCGCCGGGGAACCTGCCTTGTACCCTCGACGTCGACGCGGGAGGGTGGGGAGGTGGAGGCAGCGGTTACTGGGGATAGTGATTTGAGTGGGATGTTGGGGGATAGTGAGGTGAGTGGGATGTGCGGTGGGGATAGTGAGGTGAGCGGGGTGTGTGGTGGTGGGATGTCGCTAGAAGCCAGTTTGAGCCATGTGGGACCTGATGTGCTGTTGGGCCTGAGGGATGCTGCTGAGGCAGCAGCAGGTGCAGCGGCAGGAGCAGGAAGAGCAGAAGCAGGTGTAGCAGAAGGAGCAGGAGAAGGAGCAGGGATGGGTGTGGCAGGCGAGGCAGGTGGTGCTGTAAAGGGGTGTTCCAATGACGGGGCTGAGGATGTGTTAATGGGCCATGTGCGTAGCAGACTGCAGGCAGTGCAAGCAGGGCAAGCAGGGCAGGCAGGGCAAGCAGGAGAGTCAGGAAAGGCAGAGCAAGCAGGGCAGGGGGCGCATTCTGGGATGGCAGTGCAGGCGTGTAGGAGTGGGGAGGAAGCGAGCAACGAGGAAGAGAGTGGGAGGAAGTGGGCCCGGCAAGGCACTGCCGATCGCAGGCTAGCGCTGCAGGGCCAGGGGAAGAGCGGAACAGGTGGATTAGGTGGGGGAGGCGCGGCAGGTGGGGCGGGCTGGGCAGGTATATCTGGTGGAGGTTTGACCCAGGCAGGTGCGAGCTGGACACAGTCCAACCCAGACAGGAAACTCTCTAGCTCCCTCCACAGCCCCACACACTCTCCTACTGGTAACCCCAGGGGTGGTAACCGCGCTACAGCAATGAAGCGTAACAGTTCGAGCAAGTCATTGAAAGAGGGTATGTATCAGCGGGTGCTGGTTGGGTTGGAGATTCCAGAAGGGGACGAGGAGAGGGGAGGTGAGGGGGGGGCGGAGAGACCAGTGCTGGGTGTGGGGGGAATGCATGGGAGGGTATCTGTGATTGGTGGTAGGGGTCAGCAAGGGGAAGCATGTGGGACATATGGTGGTGGTGATGGGGATGGAGATGGGAATGGTGACGGAGGGGGGTATGTGGAGCAGGAAAGTGATGGGGATTCGGCATCGTCGTCGTCATTCAGTCCGACCGTCCCTGCTACACTGACGTCGCCCATAGGGAGTTTGTTTCAAAGCAGGAGGAAGCATGAGCGCCTACCGAGGCGGTTACAGAGGAGGAAAACTGGCACCCCACGCTAGTGGCTGTTGACGAAAATCAAGTGTGGGTTTTATGGGTTCGGCAGGTTGCATTCATTGTTTGGTTTCATTATTTATTCGTTCATTGTTTTTGTGCAAACGCATGTGAAAGAGTGCATTGAACACAATGTAAGCATATGTATTTCTATTTATTTGTTGTCAAGCAAACAATAAGTGGTGCAGATGTGCTAGTGAAGTTAACCCCGGCATCAATAGCTGGTGGTAACAAAAGAAGTTGCTTGAATACGGTACCTATGCGTTGTATAATTACGGTACATGGCACAGCCATGTGGGAGCATGTCACAGTGTTGCCTGCTTCAGTCATGCCAGCAACCATCCCATTCACTAGTCGAGCACAAATCTAGGGCACAGGGGGAAGTGCCCGTATCGCTTACGGATACAACAAAGCGCATCGAGCAACAAATAACAGCACCTCAAAACGGGTGCTCGCTCCTTACCTACCGGTACTCAGTCTGTTACAATGGTTCGTACGGCTTGTCCCCAGGAGACACGGGCTGGGGCGCGTCCCTAAGCTCCAGCCGCTCCCCCATCTCCTCCTGCAACATTTTGAGGCGCCTCAAAAGTGGTACGGTTTGTCCCCAGGAGGCACGGGCTGAGGCGCGTCCCTAAGCTCCAGCCGCTCCCCCATCTCCTCCTGCAACAGCCAAGAATACGCCGCCCACCCGCCGGCCACTAGCCGACCGGCATTGACAGAAAGTTCCTGGAAGGGCGAGCGCATGAGGTGCAGCTCCCTCAGGATGGCTGCCTTGAGCGGCGCCACCTGTGCGGGCTTGTCTGACGTGGCGTCCTTGCGCTTGCTGTGCCGCCCCCAACCCGTGACTATATCGATGGCCTCCGGAATCTCATTGTGCCACTGGCACATGCGCACGCACACAGGGGGGCAGACAGGCAGGCAGAGGGCAGGGGGAAAGGGGCAGACTTTGAGTCGACTCAAAAGGCTGTGGCACCCCCACCCCGTGACTATATCGATGGCCTCCGGGATCTCATTGTGCCACTGGGCCATGCGCACGCAGACAGGCATGCAGGGGGCACGGGGCAGGGGGCAGGGGGGCAGGGGCAGGGGGGCAGGGGCAGGGGGGCAGGAGCAGGGGGGCAGGGGCAGGGGGCAAGGGGCATGGAGGGCGGCATGCAGGGAGGAAGAGCAAGGAGATGTAGAAAGAGAGTGGAGGGAGTTTGACGGATGGATGGGGATTGGTGAGGATTGGGCAGCGAGAGAGGAGAGAGTTGGTGCTATCTCGTAACGGGGAGGCACGAAGAGGTACAGGCAGTGGGCACCAGGACACAATGTACAGGCAGTGGGCACCAGGACACAATGTACAGGCAGTGGGCACCAGGACACAATGCACAGGCAGTGGGCACCAGGACACAATGCACAGGCAGTGGGCACCAGGACACAATGCACAGGCAGTGGGCACCAGGACACAATGCACAGGCAGTGGGCAGCAGGACACAATGCACAGGCAGTGGGCAGCAGGACACAATGCACAGGCAGTGGGCAGCAGGACACAATGCACAGGCAGTGGGCACCAGGACACAATGCACAGGCAGTGGGCAGCAGGACACAATGCACAGGCAGTGGGCACCAGGACACAATGCACAGGCAGTGGGCAGCAGGACACAATGCACAGGCAGTGGGCACCAGGACACAATGCACAGGCAGTGGGCACCAGGACACAATGCACAGGCAGTGGGCACCAGGACACAATGCACAGGCAGTGGGCACCAGGACACAATGCACAGGCAGTGGGCACCAGGACACAATGCACAGGCAGTGGGCACCAGGACACAATGCACAGGCAGTGGGCACCAGGACACAATGCACAGGCAGTGGGCAGCAGGACACAATGCACAGGCAGTGGGCAGCAGGACACAATGCACAGGCAGTGGGCACCAGGACACAATGCACAGGCAGTGGGCACCAGGACACAATGCACAGGCAGTGGGCACCAGGACACAATGCACAGGCAGTGGGCACCAGGACACAATGCACAGGCAGTGGGCACCAGGACACAATGCACAGGCAGTGGGCACCAGGACACAATGCACAGGCAGTGGGCACCAGGACACAATGCACAGGCAGTGGGCACCAGGACACAATGCACAGGCAGTGGGCACCAGGACACAATGCACAGGCAGTGGGCACCAGGACACAATGCACAGGCAGTGGGCACCAGGACACAATGCACAGGCAGTGGGCACCAGGACACAATGCACAGGCAGTGGGCACCAGGACACAATGCACAGGCAGTGGGCACCAGGACACAATGCACAGGCAGTGGGCACCAGGACACAATGCACAGGCAGTGGGCACCAGGACACAATGCACAGGCAGTGGGCACCAGGACACAATGCACAGGCAGTGGGCACCAGGACACAATGCACAGGCAGTGGGCACCAGGACACAATGCACAGGCAGTGGGCACCAGGACACAATGCACAGGCAGTGGGCACCAGGACACAATGCACAGGCAGTGGGCACCAGGACACAATGCACAGGCAGTGGGCACCAGGACACAATGCACAGGCAGTGGGCACCAGGACACAATGCACAGGCAGTGGGCACCAGGACACAATGCACAGGCAGTGGGCACCAGGACACAATGCACAGGCAGTGGGCACCAGGACACAATGCACAGGCAGTGGGCACCAGGACACAATGGCACGAGCAATCCCCTTTCCAGAATCTACACCCTCCACTCTCCCCAATCTCCCTTCCCCTGTAGCCTCTCCCCTGCCCCCTGGCTTTGGCGCACCTACCAGGCGGTGCGCAGGTCACGCAGCCAGAGGAAGAGAAAGATTTTTGAGTCGACAAAAAAAGCGACTTATCACACACCTGCCAGGCGGTGCGCAAGTGCTTACCTGCCAGGCGGTGCGCAAGTCGCGGAGCCAGAGAAAGAGGAAGGCACAGGCGGATCCAATGGAGTGCTCGTGCAGGTCCACACTCCACACGGACTTTTGAGTCGACTCAAAAGTCGCCTTTGGCTTACCTGCCAGGCGGTGCGCAGGTCGCGCAGCCAGAGGTAGAGGAAGGCACAGGCGGATCCATTGGAGTGCTCGTGCAGGTCCACACTCCACACGGACTTTTGAGTCGACTCAAAAGTCGCCTTTGGCTTACCTGCCAGGCGGTGCGCAGGTCGCGCAGCCAGAGGTAGAGGAAGGCGCAGGCGGATCCAATGGAGTGCTCGTGCAGGTCCACACTCCACACGGACTTTTGAGTCGACTCAAAAGTCGCCTTTGGCTTACCTGCCAGGCGGTGCGCAGGTCGCGCAGCCAGAGGTAGAGGAAGGCGCAGGCGGAGCCAATGGAGTGCTCGTGCAGGTCGACACTCCACACGCCCTCCTCCCTCCACATACCCCCGCCCCTCTGCTTGCCACTCCCACTCCCACTCCCACTCCCACTCCCACTCCCACTGCCACTGCCACTGCCACTGCCACTGCCACTGCCACTGCCACTGCCACTGCCACTGCCACTGCTGCTGCTCTCCCTGCGCTCCGCACCCCCCCCCCTGCGTGCACCGCGCGCCTCCCTGTGCAGGTCGTCGGCACCGCCGTACACGCCCAGCCCGCGGCCCAGCGCCACCACGCGCGCAGCGCGGCGCCGCATGCCGAAGCTCCAGAGCACGTCAGCCAGCGCGTTATAGAAGGAACGCCGCATGGCCAGCGGCACCGCCTGAAACGCACCGAACATCCGCCCTGCTGATTCCCACAACCCCTCGTCTGCCCTCTCGCCCCTCCTGCCCGCCGCTCCCCGCGCGCCTCCTCTAACCAGTCCCTCCACCACCTCCTCCTCGTTCGCACACTCGTCTCCTTCCTCCTCTGGGCCTGCCATCACGAGGCGACACATGGCGACTTCCCATTCGCCGCCGGTCCTCTGCAGGCAGTACAGCAGCTCCAGCGCGTCCTCCCACTTCTCGCACCGCGCACAAGCAGACAAAATGGCCGCGTACGTGATCAGATTCGGCCGGCACCCCTCGGCCTGCATGCGTTCAAACGCCCCTGCTGCCTTGGCATACAGCCCCGCCTTCCCAAACGCGTCAATCAGGCAGCTCCAGCTGTAAACCGACGGGCGGTAACCGCACGTAACCATGGCCGCGAGCGTCGCCTCCGCCTCCTCGTGGTTACCGGCTTTCCCGTGCGCGTCCAGGACAGTGAGAAACGTCACCTCATTCGGCGGCACGCCTGCTTGCTGCATGGCAGCGAGAGTCTCCGAGACACGATCCGACAGCCCAGCGCGGCCGAACGCAGCCATGAGCGCCGTGTAGGAGAACACATCCGGAGCGATGCCCGCCTGCAGCATGCGGTGAAACGCCTCCTCGGCGCGCTCCACGTCGCCCATGCGGCCGTACGCGTCGACGAGCGCGGTGAACGTGATGCCGTCCGGGGCCATGCCGGTGCGCTCCATGGCCTGCAGCGTGGCCTCGGCGTCCGGGGCGCGCCCCGCCTTGCCACACGCGTTGATGATGGTGTTGAATGTCACTATGTTGGGCGCCACTTGAGGGTCCAGCACGCCTGATGACAGGTCGTCCAGCACCTGGGGGGCGAGTGGGGTGGGGTATGGAGGATGGGGGGTAGTGAAGTTGGGAGGTGTCGCTGATGCATGCGGTGTAGCAGCAGCATACCCACCTGGTCGTGCAGCATACCCACCTGGTCATGCAGCATACCCACCTGGTCATGCAGCATACCCACCTGGTCATGCAGCATACCCACCTGGTCATGCAGCATACCCACCTGGTCATGCAGCATACCCACCTGCAGAGCGACATACCCACCTGCAGAGCGACATACCCACCTGCAGAGCGACATACCCACCTGCAGAGCGACATACCCACCTGCAGAGCGGCATCGAGCTGGCCTTCCCGGCACAAGGTGTCGATCAGCGTGTTGTATGTCACTATGTTAGGCCTGGGGGGGGGAAGACGTGGGTGGCGAGGGGAATGAGAGGGGTTTTGAGTCGACTCAAGACTCAACTGTCAATGAGGGTGTTGTATGTCACAATATTGGGACTGCAGGGGAACACGTGGGCGGCGAGGGGGATGAGATGAGAGGGGTAGAGCGAAAGTCAAACAAATGAAAAGCATTGAGAAACCCCAAACCCGCACGCACATGAGCGTGTTGTATGCCATTTTGTAAGAGGAAGGAGCGAGAAGCTGAGATATGCAAGGAACCATTCTCCTCTGAGAACTAGTCTACTCTTCACTGTCTGCCCGAACTGCACTTGTCTCGCTGTCGCCCTAAGCGTGAAGGGTGTCTTTTTCTGAACCGAGCATTAACGTGCTAGCAGAGCAGGGCATAAGGGCCGTAGCTGCCTGCACCTCCTCTCTCTCCCTGCATAAGCGTACACGCCCACAATGGCTTTTCTGCAGGTACCCACCCACTGTGGGCCCAGCACGGCACGGCACGGCCCAGCACGGCACGGCACGGCACAGCTGACCTGCAGTTGAGTGACAGGCCTCCTGCCCCCGCATGCATGTCCATGAACACCTCCACCGCCTCATCATACATGCCCCCCTTGCACAGCGCTTTTAAGTCGACTCAAAAGCAGCACGGCACGGCACGGCTGACCTGCAGTTGAGTGGCAGACCGCCCGCCCTGCCCGCCCCCGCACGCATATCCATAAACACCTCCACCGCCTCGTCATACATGCCCCTTTTGAGTCGACTCAAAAGCTGACCTGCAGTTGAGTGACAGGCCGCCCGCCCCTGCGCGCATATCCATGAATACCTCCACCGCCTCGTCATACATGCCCCTTTTGAGTCGACTCAAAAGCTGACCTGCAGTTGAGTGACAGGCCGCCCGCCCCTGCGCGCATATCCATGAATACCTCCACCGCCTCGTCATACATGCCCCTTTTGAGTCGACTCAAAAGCTGACCTGCAGTTGAGTGACAGGCCGCCCGCCCCTGCGCGCATATCCATGAATACCTCCACCGCCTCGTCATACATGCCCCCCTTGCACAGCGCACCAATCAGCGCGTTACACGTCACCGTGTTGGGCCTGGGAGGGTGGGATGGCAGAATGGTGGCAAGGGGTCGAGAGGTTTTACAGTCAGTTGCACAGGTGGTTTGGGGAAGGGGTTGGATGTGAAGGGGCATGGCATGGCACACAGTGGTGGGAAGGTAACCCTCTTCGGTCCCCCTTCCCCTCACCGGCAGTCATCATCATCGCACGTCTTCATATGCTCGAAGACAGCAAGCGCGTCCTCGAACCACCCGGCACGGCCATACGCGTTGATGAGTGCGGTGTACGTGAAGTGGTTGGGGCGCGCGCGCGACAGCAGCATGTCCTGGAAGAGCAGCGTGGCGGCGTGCGCCTGCTGCTCCCGCGCCAGGAAGCCCATGAGTGCGTTGTACAGCCGCATGTTGGGCCGGAACCACGCCTGCTGCTGGCTCCACGCGAACACCTGCCGCATCGGGGAGGGGCGGAGGGCGGGGAGGAAGAGGAGCAAGGGGAGCAGGTGAGGAAGGGGAGGAAGGGGAGGAAGGGGAGGAAGGGGAGGAAGGGGAGGAAGGGGAGGAAGGGGAGGAAGGGGAGGAAGGGGAGGAAGGGGAGGAAGGGGAGGAAGGGGAGGAAGGGGAGGAAGGGGAGGAAGGGGAGGAAGGGGAGGAAGGGGAGGAAGGGGAGGAAGGGGAGGAAGGGGAGGAAGGGGAGGAAGGGGAGGAAGGGGAGGAAGGGGAGGAAGGGGAGGAAGGGGAGGAAGGGGAGGAAGGGGAGGAAGGGGAGGAAGGGGAGGAAGGGGAGGAAGGGGAGGAAGGAGAGGAGATGCCCGAAGAGATTGAACTAGAGGAGACGCCCCCAACAGTGTGTGTCACGTCACCTCGAGGGTGGCCTTCCAGTCGTGGCGTCGCTGTAGCTCCGTCATCAGCTCCTCCACCTCGCGCTTCTCCAGGCCCTCCGCCACCTCCGCCACCACCGCCCTCAGCGACCCCCCCCCCGCCACGAGGTGACTCTTGAGTCGACTCAAAAGTCACCTCGCGCTTCTCCATGCCCCCGCCACCTCCGCTACCACCTCCTTGAGCGAGCCCGCCCCGCCACGCACCCTCCCATCCGCCCCTCCGCCATGGCTCCGCTGACTTGCTTGACTTTGCTGACTCTCTCCACCCCTTATTCCTCCCTGGGCTCCCCTGGCGCCTTCTCCAGCCACTCGCCTGGCCCTCTGTATAGTCACAATCGCCTGTAGCACGCGGTCGCTGACGGGGCTTCGGTTGGCCATCCTGTGTGCTCTGTGGCGCGGGGCTCTGGGCGCTGCCTTGTTCACCCACACTGTGGACTGCAGGGGGCGAGGGGTAGGGGGGGTGGACGAGGAGGAGGAGGAGGAGGAGGAGGAGGAGGAGGAGGAGGAGGAGGAGGAGGAGGAGGAGGAGGAGGAGGAGGAGGAGGAGGAGGAGGAGGAGGAGGAGGAGGAGGAGGAGAGGAGGAAGTAAAGGAAGAGGAGGGAGGGGACGGCGGTATCGCTGTTAGCGGTCGTGCTGGTTTGGCTGCTTGTAACGACGGGGTTGGTGGTGGTGTGGATGGGGTTGGTGGTGGTGTGGCTGGTGTTGGTGTTGCTGCTGAGGACATCGCTGCTTGGTCTGATTGTTTCCGCGAAATGCGCCCTTTTCTGCGAAACACCCGCGTATCTTGAAAGCCTTTAGCCTTCGATTCGACAGATGCATATACAGGCACTGGACGGAGCATTCTAGGCCGTCGAATTGCCATAAGCTTATCAGATTCTCTTGTTTCAGATGCCGCTGCAATTGCTGGCGCTCCCGCTGCTGCTCTTTGTGAGTCGCGAGTTGATGCTATCGGATGCTCTGGGCCCGTGAGAGAAGAACTGGAGTCTCCGTCTCCTTTTTGCAGGTTCGCAATTAGAGGGGCCTCAGGTCTGACCAAGCAGACCAGTTTCTCTGCGTAAACCCCGACAGCCGTATCCTTGTCCTCGATCGTGTCATTATCACTCTCGCTGGTATAATCACTCTCGCTGCAAGCACTATCGCTGAGAGCACCCGCGAACTGAATCTCCTGGTCATCGCTGCTATCGTACTCTACCGATCTACTCTCCGAACTCCTGACGAATCTCTCCTCCCTTGAGCCCTCAGGTAGGTCGCTTCTCAATCCAGTGGTATTGGAATCTAACCGTGCTGACCTGGCAGACGCATTTGTTTCATGATACACGGCCACTGCACGTTCGGATGCCTCAAGCCTACTGAGTCGATACAGTGGCGTCAGGTTCGGTGGGTTTCCATGAAGTGAGGAAGCACGGACAGAGGGAGTACAGGAAGGGGATAGACGAGAAGGAAAGCTGGAAGACGCGGGTGAGGGGTGAGGCTGAGGAGAGTCAAGGCTCGCGGCTGGCTGGCGAAGAACAGGGCTATGGAGTAACGCAGGCACGACCGATTGAACGGAGCGGTGTCGGGTGGATGGCGGGACAAGGAGCGAGAAGGGCGTGGATGCCGGGGATGCAGTGCACGACATCTCAAAACTGGTGCTTCAGAAAGTCACGTTGGGGTAATCGTCAGAGTTGCGGGGGGGGTTGTTTTTTAGGAGCTACGTTCACGACTATGGGAAACATACGTTTCCAGGGGGGTGTAAAGCTCGGCATGTGTTCTTACGGCACGCGGATGTTTCAGGTTATATCGTAGAGGCAGCACTGAATCTGAGCTTGCACCACAGGGCTCTCCCACAAAGTAGGAACGTTCGAGATTCGCTCGTGAAACATCTGAAACATCAGCCCTGCCTCGAACACGACTGGATGGGACGGTGAACCACGGTCAGGAAAGGTCCGAGAAATTGGCCACACTTCAATATGTTGCGACAAAAGTAGAGGTTGAAACTACAAATTAGCTGGGCAAAAGGTTAAACTACTCAGATAAGCTACACTATTGTGTTTCCATCACTGAAAGCATGACATGTGATTGACTTGCTACGACAATACGGTATATATTTTGTCATTAAAACTCATCAGGCTCGTCATCGTCAAACGGATCCCTTTCAGGGTAATCTCCAACCTGCCAAGGCAGAGGGTGGAATTAGAATCAAATTGCACTCTGGAAGAAGGGGAAAATTACTGGGTTAAAAGGCAACTAGCCCCTCTCACTTTGACTTTGTCTGGCCGCAGAAACGAGCCGTAATTGCGCTCACAATGAAAGACCACCTTACCCTCCACACTGCAAGCAGAGACAAAACAAGCCACAATGCAAGCTATGCGGCCTGCATTAGAATGCTGGGCATGATAACGACGCAACACAGAGAAGAGAAAAAGAGAAGCTGAGAGAGAAGGGTGGAACAATAAAAGCTCAACGATATATAGTAATTAAAAAAAAAAAACTACGCACCTTCCATCATTGACCCCCACAGGCTCATCGAACTTCACTCCCACCCAGAATCCATTAGGAAGAACATCTACAGTGCCCACAAAGGCAACGCTTCCTCTCTTGCCGCCTGGGTCCACCTCACATCTGTCGCCAACCTGCAAGCAGACAGCTGACTCAGAGTTGAAAAACAAGAACAATGAAGGGTGAGGATATCAAGAACCAGATTGTGTGACACGAAAAAGAGAATGCTGGTATGGGGCACGCTTGATGCGCCATTTGAGAGAAATTCGACACCTTTATGGTTGCTGCAATGTCAGCCATGAAGTCCGCAGAAGTACCCTGAAATGTGGAAACCAGAACGTTTCAAGGTCCATAATTGATATCTGAAACATCAGGAGATTTGATTTTGGACGAGAGAAGGCCAACAGCAGGAAGGAAGATCGAGCTTACAGGCTGAGGGGCAAGGTCAGGCCGTGCACTATACAGTTGTTGCTTGAACCTCCGAACGGAATCTGTTAGACATGTGTTGAAGTGTGAGTTCCTGACGGTGAAACATTGTCAGGCGTAGCTCGTGGAAAGATGGATTCCGCATCGTTTACCATCTCGTTTTTCGTAATCTTCTTCAGAAATCGTGTATTTCTCCACCAAGGACGTGTCGTCCAGCCATCCAGAGGCAGCTGCTGAGGTGGGATCAGTGTCAATCACGTGGAGACGGTACCTGTCCAAAACAAAAAGAAGACTCATTTTCAAATATGCAGAGATTGGGCGTTGCTCAATAAAATCACTTTCATCGTCAGGAGCCTCACTCGAAAGGCCAGTCAGAGCTTGAGTACCCGTTTTGAGGGGAGTAGTATCCCAGCAGTCGAATGTCCTCGAGTCCTGAATGTAACAATGTGTCTGTTTCTGACGACTTGCTGGAAGCACTGAAAAGCTGCAGCTGCATGGCTGACACGGCTGTCCCGGTGTGCACCTGAAGCTGCTCCTTCACGCGCTCTATAGAGCTCTGCTAAGAGAGAGAACAGCACGGATTGTACGTATCTATGAATCCAAAAACGGGTACTTTTCTCAGATAATGGAACGACGTAAAGGATTTTCGCCTCAACGTGCAAATTCAAACTATCACACAAGAATAACACGTCAAGTAAACAAATGACGAATAGGTCTGCTAATGAAGGGGAGCGACTCGGTGAACTTGCACTTAGCGAGAACTTCATGTCAATGAATTGCCGCTTCAGATGACTGTGCGTTACGAGCAGAGACACGGTGTCGCCGTCGTTAGGAGCAGCAAGGGCGCTGGAACCCGTGGGACCATCTCGTACGTAACTCTTTAGAGCCTTGAAGTCTAGAGCAGCCATCGCTGGCTAAAGCGAATAGAAGACGTGCACACAATCAGTTGGCGCAGAAACCTAGTTGTAACCGTAGATCCCAAAATTGCTATGGGGGGCCCGCTCTGGAGAAACGAACTCGGTACGGTACAGTAGCATGCGGCTGGGTTTGCTGCCCGAATGTTCTGTGGTGTATGAACTTGCCCGTGTTTTTACTGTTTCAGCGCGTATGAACCTGTAATCACATCCTCGATATTGCATTCTGCGCACTCTCTTCTTTGACAACTTTTTACACCCTAGGTTTGGACATTTACAGCGACGAACGACCAGCTTTCATTTTCGCTCATTTCCGAAGGCCACACGGGTGGTTTCCGGCGCCTCGAGACCAACCTAACCTGCCGTACACTCGCCATGGTGCCGCCTCCTATCGCCCGCGCAGTTCAGCAGGTGCAGGGCGTCGCGCAAGCCGCGGCGCAGTTCGCGCAGGAGCTTGTTTTCGAGCTGCGCACCGAGTCGCGGGAGGCGCTTCGAACGGGCCTCGGCATCCCTAGGGCGGTTACCAGCATCGCCAGTTTCGGATGCTTCGTAAATCCGCCGACTTAACCATTTCCCATCCCTTGACCTGGTCCTACTAGACCCCCATTGCAAAAGCTGTGTTCCCCATTCCAACCGAGCCGTTTTCCGTTCAGGTCGTTCTGCATTGGAGTGTCTGTCTGTTATAGGTTTTCGAGCTTGTTAGGTGCATCTCTCAGGGATTTCTCGTCTTCTCGTGCTCTCGTTTATATCACCTCAAGGATCCCCGTTTGCCCCAGCTCCCATTGACGCCTGAAAGTTATCAATGCGTGTGACAATATCGGGAGGAATCATTTGCAGACGGTTAATCGTTGGTGAAAAAAAACCTTTGAAACGATTGAAATGTCGGACACAGATAATATAAGCCGTTACCCAAGACATTCGCTTTCACACCTGGACGCAAACCTGAACCTCGCATCGCGCTTAGCTGGCTGTCGAGTCGCATCAACGGTCACCGCGTTACAGAGTCACAAAACACGTGATCGCATGTAACCACATTCCCGTCACTTCAGAGCCTATCAAGCCATCGTTTCCTCACCCCTCACTTTCACTCTCTCACCCCTCACTTTCACTCTCTCACCCCTCACTTTCACTCTCTCACCCTCACTTTCATTCTCTCCCCCGTCGCTTTCACTCTCTCACCCCTCACTTTCACTCTCTCACCCCTCACTTTCACTCTCTCACCCTCACTTTCACTCTCTCCCCCTCGCTTTCACTCTCCCCCCCCTCACTTTCACTCTCTCACCCCTCACTTTCACTCTCTCACCCCTCACTTTCACTCTCTCACCCTCACTTTCATTCTCTCCCCCGTCGCTTTCACTCTCTCACCCCTCACTTTCACTCTCTCACCCCTCACTTTCACTCTCTCACCCCTCACTTTCATTCTCTCCCCCGTCGCTTTCACTCTCTCACCCCTCACTTCACTCTCTCACCCCTCACTTTCACTCTCTCACCCCTCACTTTCACTCTCTCCCCCCGCTTTCACTCTCCCCCCCCCTCACTTTCACTCTCTCACCCCTCACTTTCACTCTCTCCCCCCTCGCTTTCACTCTCCCCCCCCCTCACTTTCACTCTCTCACCCCTCGCTTTCACTCCCCCCCTCACTTTCACTCTCTCACCCCTCACTTTCACTCTCTCCCCCTCGCTTTCACTCTCTCCCCCCTCACTTTCACTCTCCCCCCTCACTTTCACTCTCTCAACCCCTCACTTTCACTCTCTCACCCCTCGCTTTCACTCTCTCCCCCCTCACTTTCACTCTCTCACCCCACTCACTTTCACTCTCTCCCCCTCGCTTTCACTCTCTCCCCCCTCACTTTCACTCTTCCCCCCCTCACTTTCACTCTCTCCCCCTCGCTCTCACTCTCTCCCCCCTCACTTTCACTCTCTCACCCTCGCTTTCACTCTCTCCCCCCTCACTTTCACTCTCTCACCCCTCACTTTCACTCTCTCCCCCCTCGCTTTCACTCTCTCCCCCCTCACTTTCACTCTTCCCCCCCTCACTTTCACTCTCTCCCCCCTCGCTCTCACTCTCTCCTCCCTCACTTTCACTCTCTCCCCTCTCACTTTCACTCTCTCCCCTCTCACTTTCACTCTCTCCCCCTCTCTATTCTCGTCCCCTCCACCCCGCCTCCTCCTCCTTCCTTCTCCCCCCCCTTCCCCTGCTTCCCCTTTTCCCCTCCCCCTCTCTTACTCCCCCCTTTCCTCCACACGCGCTGTAACAGCAGGCAGTAGCAGCAGCGACTTTTGAGGCGCCTCAATGGTCTCTCCCCTCTTCTCCCTTCCCTCTATCCTCCACTGTAACTGCAGGCGGTAGCAGCAGCGGGCACAGCAGCCATTACGACTGATTTCGTCGCCCGATTATATGGCGCCAGGTAAGATGATGCCACGTAGGCTCGTGCCAGGTATGATGGTGCCAAGTAGGATGGCGTTGGAGGGAATGGGCAAGTTGATACTGGATAGAATCGGGATGGGCTGGAGATCAAGAGTTGGTTTTAGGGCGTGTAAAATCGGCAGCGTTGATTTTTCGGCCCCAAAGCGTCGGGCCGAATTTGCGAAAGTAACCCTATAGCGACGCTATGCGATGCTCGCAGATTTCGCCAAAAATTTCACAATTTGATGGCCGGATAAAAAGTCGACCAATTGGTCGTCGTCGTGTCGACATAAAAACGGCCACGCATCCGTGTCGCAACGAGTCGCAAACCGCCTGCGACTGCGATGCGACAGACTGTGTCATGTGCGCGACTACATCGCACAATTTGGCCACCCCAAATTTTACAACTTCTCCAAAGTGGCCTGCAAATCGGCCACCAAAGTTGTAAAATCGCCAAAACTGTACTTGGTGGCTGTAATAGAGTCGACTCTGATTCGGCCACCTCGTCGTTGTTCGCGAAAAATATGACGACCATTTGGTCGTCGAAAATTCGGCCATACCCCGTTTTCGGAATTGTGCGGGGAATTTACACGCCCTTACATTCGTGTAAATCTTTCTGTACTCTCTGTGTTGCATTGTGTGTACTCTGTATGTGTTGATTCTCGTCCATTCTGCTGTATCACACTCACTCTGCATGCATGCCATTCTATGCCATGCCATGCCACACAGGGAGTGTGAGGGATGCAACGGGTGGGAAGGAGTGGCGTGCACTACATGCCGAGGAACAGGACACGCTAGAAGACAAGCGCTGCCATCCAGCAAGTGCGTACCATCCCTTGTCTATGCAACTCCTCTTCCCATGACCCATGCCATAACCCATATTGTTGTCGTTCCCCATTCTCCACCCCAAGCCCACCTTGCATTGCCCAGTCACCCCCTTCCCCACCCGATTTTTGCCTCCCACGTTTCCGTCCCACACCATGCTGTGCCTTATCCCCAGGTCCAACCTTGAGTCGACTCAAATTTCCACTTCCATTTCTCTTTCCCCAACTCCCCTTTTTCCCCTGAACCCGCTTTTCCCTAACACGCCCTTTGCCCGACCCTCCCTTTCCCCAACTCCCGCTTTCCCCTAACGAACTCTCGTCTGAACCCTCCCTTCCCCAACCCAACACCCTCCTTCTCCTAATACATCACCCCACCCTGCCGTATCTTCCTCCTCCTCCTCCTCCTCCTCCTCCTCCTCCTCCTCCTCCTCCTCCTCCTCCTCCTCCTCCTCCTCCTCCTCCTCCTCCTCCTCCTCCTCCTCCTCCTCTGCCCTGCTATGCCCCACGTGCCATGGGTCATCTGATGGTTTCTTAGCCCTGTTCCCCTAAACCCCCCTTCCCCAACCCTCAGGTCCTCTGCACAATCCCTCCTCGTGGCATCGCCCCACCCCGCCGTCTCCTCCTCTTCCTCCGCAGCTGCCGCCTCTGTTTCTCTCTGCCCCACGTGCCACGGGTCAGGGGTGATGAAGTGCTCTGTGTGCAATGGAGACGCGTGGAAGAACAAGATCACATTCGACCGGGTGAGAGAGGATCAGGGGTTTGCAGGGAGAGGGACTGTGTGTGTGTGTTGCTGGTCCTCACCCCACGTGCCACGGGTCAGGGGTGATGAAGTGCTCTGTGTGCAATGGAGACGCGTGGAAAAACAAGATCACATTCGACCGGGTGAGAAGACCTGGGATTTGCAGGGAGAGGGATTGTGTGTGTGTGTGTTGGTGAAGTGCTCGATGTGCAATGGAGACGCGTGTGCTCATGTCCCACAAGGCATGGCGTAGGGCGCATATGTGTGTGTTTCGCTTTGCCCCACGTGCCACGGGTCGGGGATCATGAGGTGTACTGTTCTGTGTGCAATGGAAACGCGTGGAAGCACAAGAGCACGTTTGACAGGGTTAGCTCACAAATGCCACAAGCTAGAGACGAGAAGCATGTGAGGAAATCGGGGAAAATGTTCGCAACAGATTGGAGATTTTTGACGTGGCGGGAGCATGTCGGATGTGATCAGGGAAGAACAGCCTCAGGGTACGAACGAAGGCATAGTTTGTGTGTGTTTTGCTCTGCCTCTCTCTTCCCCCCTCTCACGTCCGTTGCCCTTCCCTTGTTGCTTTTCTCTCCCCCTATTCCAGGTTCTTGACTCGCCTCTGAAGGCCTGGGATGCCTACCGCATGGCAAAACCCGTCATGGTACGTGGCAAGGCACATGGTATGATGGGCATTTGTCGCGTGAGTTGCACAGTGGGTTATAGGCAAAGGTTGGTGAGTTGTAAATTCATCTACGGGGGTGGGGAACACTTTGTAATCATGATATGCAGATAAAGCATGCCATGATGCATGGGCCTTTGTGTCGACTCTAAGAAGTCACGATGGGCCATGCCATACCCTTTCTCCCCTTCCTTGTTACCCTCCCCTCCACTCCCTTACCCCTATTCCCCTCTTCCTCCCTCCCCTTCCTTTTTTGGCCATTCCCTGGGGCACTGCAGGACCCTAACCGTGCTGCCTTCTGCCTGCTGTTTTCTTGTCCGCTACCCACCCTCTCTCTCTGTCTCCCCTCCATCCCCTTTCTCCGCTCTTTTCCCCTTCTCACACAGCCATCCCCCGAGGCAATGCAAGACCCCAACCGCGCTGCGTTCTGGTTGCTGCTCTATTCTTCGCCACTCAACCCTTTCCCCCGTTGCCTTCCCCTCCCTTCCACTCCCCTCTCCCCTCCCTCCTCCCCTCCCCCCCCACAGCCATCCCCCGAGGCAATGCAAGACCCCAACCGCGCTGCCTTCTGGTTGCTGCAGCGACCGGCACTGGAGGAAGGGGTGGAGATGAGCGAGAGGGACAAGGAATCGGTGTGGTGGGAGCACGAGGTATGGCATGTGCCATGTGGTATGGCATGTGCCATGTGGTATGGCATGTGCCATGTGGTAGGGCATGGGGCATGTGGTAGGGCATGGGGCATGGCATGTGTGGTGGTTGGGAGAAGGGATGACATGTGGTGGGGGTTGGCAACTGTCCTTCTGGCGCCTCCAGTGGCCGTTCCTGCTATACTCCTCCCCTCCCCTTCTCTTCCACCCTCTATCTGTTGCAGTGGAAGCAGCGGTATGAGGGCATGCGGGAGGCAGTGCTGCAGAAGCAGCCGGGCTGGCAGCAGGCGCAGCAGGTGGGTTCTGCCGTGTTCCTCATGTGTGCGCCACATATTCTAGTACGCGCCTTTAGACAAAACCTGCATCCTTCTTTCTGTCTCCGTGAGGGCCGCCATCAGTGCCACTCAACGGCCCTCTGCTTCATGCTTCTTACAAATCTGAACCATCTCAACTTACCCCCTCATGCCTGACTCATCAACGTACCCCCTCCTTCCCAACCCCACTTCCAGAACCCCCCCCCCCCCCCCCCCCCCCCCCCCCCATTTTCCAGCCTCTAATCGAGATGGATCCATCTGCGGCTCTCAACAACCCTCCGCCTCTCGTCTCAATGCCACCAATGCAATCAAACCTTCCACTCCGTCAATCACGCCCTCACTCCCTCACAACGTCACACCCGCCCTCACTCCCTCACAACGTCACACCCTCCCTCACTCCCTCACAACGTCACACCCTCCCTCACTCCCTCACAACGTCACACCCTCCCTCACTCTCTCACAACGTCACACCCTCCCTCACTCCTTCACAACGTCACACCCTCCCTCACTCCCTCAATTCCCACTCCTCACTTTCCAGGCTTTAATCGAGATGGACCCATCTGCAGCTCTCAACGACCCTCAGGCTCACTATCCGTTCTACGTCAAACTATACACTCCCTCACTCCCTCATTCCCTCACTCCCTCACTCCCTCACTCCCTCATTCCCTCACTCCCTCACTCCCTCACTCCCTCATTCCCTCACTCCCTCACTCCCTCATTCCCTCACTGCCTCACTCCCTCATCCCTCACTCCCTCACTCCCTCATTCCCTCACTCCCTCACTCCCTCATTTCCTCGTTTTCCAGGCTTTAATCGAGATGGACCCATCTGCAGCTCTCAACGACCCTGAGCTTGACGCTGCCATCCGAACCAAGCCTCCCAAGGCTCGGCGGCTGCCGAAGCTGGAGGGAGACGCGGAGGCTCGGGTGGCCGCAGCTCTAGAGGAGGCTCGGAAGAAGGTGGAGAAAATGACTCCTCCACCCCGACCCAAAGACTTTGGGGTGAGATACCTTGGCGCGAGGGGCACGAGGGAAGGAAGAGTGGGGAAGAGAAAGAAGGAAATGGAGAAGAGAGCTAGTTTGGGGGAAGGTGGTGAAGATGACACTTCCCCTCCGATGCAGAGATTAGCTGAGGGGTAGTCCAACCCCTCTCCACCATCCTGCCACCCATTCTCACCCATCCTATCAATCGTCCCCTCTTTCCCCCTTGTCCCCCTTCCTTTCACAGTCCTTCCAGCAAGACTAAGTGCAGGGGTTCGATCCCTCCAGGGTGAAAGGGGAGGCGGAGAGGCAGCATTGGCAGGCAGGAAACGCAGCAGCCGCTCTCAACCCCTCAACACCATCTTACATCTCGTTATCTCCACTTCTTCCCTTCCTTTCACAGTCCTTCAAGCAAGACTAGTGCAGGAGTTCGATCCCTCCAGGGTGAAAGGGGAGGCGGAGAGGCAGCAGTTGCAGGCCGGCAATGCTACAACCGTTCTCAACCCCTCTCCACCATCTCACAACATTTTTTTCTCCCCTTGTCCCCCCTTCCTTGTCACAGTCCTTCCAGCTAGACTGGGTGCAGGAGCCGGATCAGAGGGAGATGAAGGGGGAGGCGGAGAGGCAGCACTGGCAGGCGATGCTGCAGCAGCAGCGGGAGGTGGAGGAGAAAATGTTGGACGCTGCTTGGCGGGAGACCTGGCAGAATGACAAGGTGAGAGGGAGGAGGGAGCGGGCAGGGGGGTTGGGGGGGAGAGGGGGGGAGTGAGATAGAGCAGCAGGACATCTGGAAAAGGGTTTTCGCACAGTGAGAGCAGCAGCGGGAGGTGGAGGAGAAAATGCTGGAGGCTGCTTGGCGGGAGAGCTGGCAGAACGACAAGGTGAGGGGGAGAGGAAGATCAGAAAGGCAGGAGGGAGAGAGGGGTACGGGTGAGGCGGAGAGCAGTAGAGGGATGTGGTTATGCCTCAAGGGTTGCTGTAGCCTGCAGCAGCCGAGGGAGGTGGAGGAGAAATGCTGGACGCTGCTTGGCAGGAGACCTGGCGGAACGATAAGGTGAGGGGGAGAGGAAAGGCGGGTCGGAAGGGCGTATGGAGGGAAGGTTGTTTTTCGCATAAAGGAGCAATAGCGTACATGCGCATTCTCTTGCCGCTCATTTCCTCTCTCCCCTCCGCCCCCCCATTCCACCCAACATTACAAGTAGAGGAGAGCTTGAATAAAGCTGTTTCTCGCATGAAAGCAGCAGGCGAAGCAGCGATGGGAGCAAAGGCTGTCTTTTCTTACTCATACTCCTTCCTCTCCCTCCTCCCCCCTCCCCTCCCCACCTTCATCTCCCCTCGTTGCAGGTAGAGAACTTGAAGAAGGCTATTTCACTCATGAAGGCAGCAGACGAAACAGCGAGGAGAGTTACTGTGTATTGACTCGCTTCTGCTGTCCTTCCCCCTTCCCGCTCCTGCCGTTGCAGGTAGAGGAGAGTTTGAAGAAAGCCATTTCACGCATGAAAGCAGCAGATGAAGCAGCGAGGAGAGCAAAGGCGGCAGAGGCAGCTGCTGCTGCTGCAGGAGGGGGGGCAGCAGCAGGAGGAGCAGCGGGAGGGGCTGCAGGTGGGAAAGGAGGGGCAGCGAGCAGTGGGGGCAAGGCGGCTGGGAAGAAGAGCAGCGGAGGGGACAAGGGCAAGGGAAAGGTGAGGCGAGCTCTAGTGCTTCTCATTGCTTCTCATAGCGCTTTCTCATTGCTGTCTTATGACCGAAGTTCTTTCTCTCCCATTGCTGTACCCAGCATAATGCTTCCATCATAATGCTGTAGCGTCGGTCCTAGTGCTTCCATCCAGCATAGTGCTGACTTCTCCAGGCATCAAGAAAACATCGTCCACATTTTCCTCCACTTGATTCTAAGCGCCGTAAAGATCAGCATGCTTCCTTCACCTTTTTCCTCTGTCCGTTTGCTTTCGTGCTTGCTTGTTTTCTTCCTCTTCCATTTGTTTTGATTGTTTTCTACTTCTTCCCATATGGAACTGTGCAGCGCTAATTTTCTTGCGTGCCCAACACACCCTTTGGGAGGTGCCCATGGGGAGTTGACTCAATCGACCCTCACCTGGGTTAGAATCTTGCAGCACGCTGCATTTGCAATCTGTAGGATTGCACTTGCATCTTTAGGAGATCAATTCACATGAGATGGTGGTGACCAGGGCCTCAGATATCAGCGTAAAACACGCTGATTACGCTGATTTTGTAGCTCTGAAATCCGTTTTCCCTGGAAAATCAGTAAATGCTTCCATTTTGGGCTGAAATTTCAGTAAATGTGATTTTGCCACACTGACGTTTTTGTGTGTTTCTGAACGAGTAACACTGACGAATCAGTATACTTCAGTGCGTCGCCCTGAAACGGATTTGACCGCGCGGGTGGGGGGGGGGGACGCGTGTACAGATTGTTCCTTCGCGTGATTCACGAAACCCCACCCCACCCACACACTTGGAATCTTATCACATGCGCTGTATTTACAGCTAGTGCGCGCCGAACCGTTTTTGCCGCGCTGGAAGCCATCACACCAGAGAACCGTCGACCAAGTTCACAACTGCCCAATGAGAACACAGACAACACACCACTGGTGGCAGGGTCCACGCCAACACGCCAGGGATGGCAGAGTTGAGTGGGGGTGTTGTCACCTTGCCTGGAAAGACGGAAACCCTGACCTGGACCAAGATCCCTCGTCATGGCGGCTCGGGAGAGGGGGTACCCCCATCTGCTCCCTCATTCTCTTCCTGCACTCCTGGTGAACCCCTGCAGGAAGTGATGTTCGAGCTGAAGCAGGAGTAGCTTCTCCCTCGTTGCTCGGCACGCTCAGCAGCACTGAGCAGCCATGGCGGCTTCGACGCCCGCAGGTGACGGCCCTCCGCCCGTCGCAGGCACGAAGCCAGCCGCCCTTACTGGCTTAGACTTTTTGCGACGAGCTTCAGCTGCTCCCGCGTTAGTCCCGCCATCAGCTCAAGCCGTTCCGTTCCCTTCCTCTCGCCCCGAGGCACCTACCATCTGGACGCAGGGCGAGTGTTCGACGCATGTCGGCGCTGCCGCTTCACCTCCTGTCGCTGCAGCATCAACTCGTGTCGCTGCAGCGTCAACGCCCGTCGCTGCCGCATCAACGCCTGTCGCTGCCGCATCAACTCCTGACGCTGTTGGATCAACACCTGCCACTCCCGATCCCACACGGAACCGTCAACCTGTCGCTGCCGGAACTACTCGGCAAGGTCCACGTCTTAAAAAGGGTATCAAACTGAGGTACCACCAGACAAAGATCCAGTGGGGTCCCAGTCAAGCTACACCAACGTCCGGTGCGGGGAACTCTTCCCCGAAGGCCCGTCAGCGTAAAATGAAGGGGAAAGGGGTTGAGGTGTCTTCCGATACAGAACTGCCCGACTTTGCCGAGGAGAAATACCAAGAAGCCTTATTAATGTTTAACAAACAATGGTCTACTGACTACCCGTGGCTTGTACTGCTGCAGAATAGTTTCGGGTTCCCGTCAATCAAGTGCAAGATCTGCATTGCGCACGCCGGTACGGGGACGAACTTCGGCGCCAAAGGAGAAGGGGCGACCGATGTGCAGACCCAGGCGATGCGGAAGCATCAGCGCACAAGGAAGCACCGCCGCGCTGTGCGCAGGCAGAAGACAGCCGAGGCGGCTCTCAAAGCTAACCGCCGGATTGACGACAACCCGAAGGTGAAAGACGTGGAGAAGGAGCGCCTGCTCGCGCTGTTTCAGACGGCGCTCTTCATCGCTAAGTCCGACGCCCCGATCGAGATGTACGTGGACCTCGTCCAACACCTGGCGCAGCGTGGCACACCGGGCTTCCCAAAGCGCAGTTATGGTGCCTACTACACGACGTAAGTGACATTGCTCCCGTTCAACTGGCAGCGGGTTGTGATGTACTTGCAGCTATCTCTGACCACACCCATTGATGCCCGTGCAGGTACGGATTCGAGGAGATCACCGCCGCAATAGCGACATTCCTTCGTGCGCGCCAGAGAGAATTCATCGACACGAGTCCCTTCATTGGTTTGAGCTGCGACGAGAGTACGGACCGCGTCAAAGGCAAGCACATGATTGTGTTTGCAACCTTTCTGCGTGAGCACGCCGTCACCACAGAGTTCCTGACTAACCTCTCCATCGAGAAGTGTGATGCAGCCTCACTTTTTTCAAAGCTCACGGAATTCCTTGACAGTATCAACCTCCCGCTGGAGAAGGTGGCGGGTATCAGCACCGATGGGGCACCTGTGATGATAGGAAACGACACGGGCCTCGTTGGGCGTCTTCGCCTGGAGATCCCGCACGTGGTGGCTTCTCACTGCATCGCACACAGGTAAACTGTTGCTGTGGTGGTGTTGTAGCGGTGTGAAATGTGCAACGTGGCAGTGCGAATTCTAACACCACCACCTGTGCTTTTCTACCCGTGGCAGGGAGGCGCTTGCTGCAAAGGAGGCGGCTAAGGCCCTGCCCGAGCTTGGCATCATCGACGCAGTCATCCGCGCATTGGCGGAAGATCTAGGCAGATCCAGCAACTACAACCGCAAGTTCAAGGAGCTGCAGGAGGTGTTCACGCACACCAACCTCGAGGTCCAGGGGATCCACTCCGTCCGCTAGTTGAGTCGTGGCGATGCTATCGCCCGATTCGTCCGCGTGTTCCCTGCTGTCATCGTCATGCTCGAGGAGACGGACAAGACGATGTACCAGTTGGTGACGTCGTTCAAGTTTCATTTTTTCCTGTTCTTCTTGGCAGATGTGCACACGGCACTCAACGCGCTCAACCTGCTATTCCAGAAGCGTCAGGTGAGCTGTTGAGTAACGTTGTGCTTTTCAGTTCTTCTCCCAGTTTCTAATCTTTTGTTCCGGTGTACATATTCTCCCCCTACCAACAGGTTGACCTCACTGCAGTGCACTCCCAGGTGAGGCGGACCATCATTTACATGGAGCAGCGGTACCTGCACTGTGGCCAGCAGTTTGGCGGCGGGACCAGCGAGCTGCTGTCTGCCTTCCTCGCGCGGCACGCCTCCCCCGACTGCCGTGAAGTGACTGTGGAGGGGGTGGACAAGGAGGGTCAGGCCCGGGTACACACGTTCCAGCTGCACGAGGAGGCCGTGAAGGGATACACCACCAGCAGCGGGGACATGCAAGGCTGCTACACCTGCTGCCGCTCCTTCGCCCGCGAGCTGGTGTACCACCTCGAGCTGCGCTTGGGAGACCTGACGCGGTTGAACGGGGCGAAGCTCTTCATGCCCCGCACGTGGCCGAAAGTCGTCGAGGCTAGAGAGGCCGAGTGCAAGGAGCACCTGCACGGCCTCGTCCATCTGTTCCAGGCCAAGAACCGGGTCACGATCTTGCCAGGTGAGCTAGAAAGAGAACCCCAATGCCCTGCGTGTATGCGTTGCCGTTCTAAGCGGTTGCGTTATTCCCATGTTGAGGGCCTGACTTTCTACCCGGTTGTGCTCTCCTGTTTGGCAGGTGTCCAGAAGCGTGCAGCTCGAGCGGAGCTGCGCACGTTCCTGCCGGTGCTCTCCACTGCGCCCAAGGAAGAGCAGCCCTTTCACGCAGGTTTGAAGGCCATCTTGCAGACCAGCGACTGGCAGACCAGCTACCCCAACTTAGTCCGTCTGTGGGCTGCCGTCGCTGTTCTGCCGCTCAGCACAGTCGAGTGCGAGCGCGGGTTTTCCCGCCAGAATGTGATCAAGCCGTGGCGCCGGACGAGTCTCTGCAACGCCAAGCTGGGAGATTTGTTGGCAATGTCTCTTCTCGACTACGACATGGACTGGGATGCGGTGGTGGACATCTGGCGGAGCACCAGGAAAAGGCGCCCCAGCAAGCGCAAGGAGCAAGCCGCGCCAGAGAAGGAGCGACCCAAGGCCAAGTTTGTTAAGGGGAGTGGCCGCCGGCTGGTGCAGGTGGAGGAGGAGCTAGATGAGGGCATGATGAGTGGTTCTGCATCCGATGCCAGTGAGAGTGATGATGATGGCAGCAGTAGCAGCAGTGGTGATGATGCGAGTGTTTCTTCTTCAGATGATGACATGACATGACATGAGCTAGTTAGCTAGCTAGTTTGTAGTTAGTAGTAGTTAGATAAGTTAGGGTATATTATCTTGGAATATTTTACACTGAAGGATCAGTATAGTGAAGAATTTTACACTGACAGAATCAGTATATTGAAAACCACCAACGCTGATTTGGACAGCTGGTGGCAGGGGCACGCTGATCCATCAGCATACCCTCATGTCAAATGTTGTAGCCTATAGTGAGGTTTGTCTTAGGGGGTACAAAACTTAGGGTTAGCTATATGTACCCCAACCAACATCAATGCACCATCCATTCTTCATTCTGACATGGTATCAGTTAGGTTAGGATCCTGTGGGATCCCGTTCCTCCGTTCTCCGTTCGAGCCTCCCGAGCCTGATCCTAGCTCTCATTCGTCCCGGTTCCGTTGTTACCGCGCGTAGTGCCGCGCCTAGCGCCACTCCTAGCGTCGCGTCCTGCCCGCCCTTTCCCCCTCGTCGCGTCCCTTTCCCCCCGTCGCGTCGCGCCCTTTCCCCCCAGTCGAGTCGCGCCCTTTTCCCCCCGTCGCGTCGCGCTCTTTCCCCCCGTCGCGTCGCGCCCTTTCCCCCCGTCGCGTCGCGCCCTTTCCCCCCGTCCCGTCGCCCTTCCCCGTCCCGTCGCCTCTGCTCCGTCGCGTCGCCCTGCCCCGTCGCGTCGCCCTTCCCCGTCCCGTCGCCCTTCCCCGTCCCGTCGCCCTGCCCCGTCGCGTCGCCCTGCCCCGTCGCGTCGCCCTTCCCCGTCCCGTCGCCCTGCCCCGTCCCGTCGCCCTGCCCCGTCCCGTCGCCTCTGCTTCGTCGCATCGCGCCCGCCCTTTCCCCCGTCCCGTCGACCCTACGCCCTGGCCCGTCGCCCTAGCCCGTTCGTCCGCTACGACTAAGTCCCCCCACCTGAACCCTAATTTGCCTCTTACCTCCTGCTGTTACTCGCCTGCTCGTTCGCGTTCGTTCTCGCT